ACGATTGCCGGGGCCAGGCTAAGGGTTGCTTTAAGGGCTAAGTTAAGGGTGTGTTTACGGTTCGGGGACGGCTCAATTAAGGGGTTGGTTACGATTGCCGGGGCCAGGCTAAGGGTTGCTTTAAGGGCTTAGCTAAGAGTGTGTTTACGGTTCGGGGACGGCTCAATTAAGGGGTTGGTTACGATGACACGTGGCCTCTAAAGACGGGGTGCCTGTTAACGATAGAGGCAGACACTAAGGTATTAGTAATCGTCGTAAAAGTAGTAACGATGAACATGGCAGTAGTGGTGGCAATTTGGTGACTCTGGCTTTCCTGCTCGTAGTCCGCCGGCTTCAAGTCCGGAAGTGGCACCACGGGCTTGGAGCTTGGGAGATTGCGAGGGTCCGGAGGAAAGTCTGCATCACCGACCTTGTCAGAGGCTCCAAGGTAACCGAACAAAGACAACAAATGTTGGGCGACATTTTTATGTGCAGGTGCTTTGGGGTTTAGAGTTTAGGATGTAGGGTTTCGGGCTCTATCTCGTCTGTCACAGGAGCAAATGTGATCCTGCTCGGTCTGCGCGTCTAGCAACCACAAATTGACCCTATCCACCAGCCTACAATCGACCTACAAAACTTCCGAGCTGAGATCCCCTAAGCAATAGACCCTAAACCCTAGACCCTATAAGCCCTAAACCCTCGACTAGACCCTAGACCCTAAACCCTAAACCCAAACTCCAAAAGCCTGAAGGCCCCACGTGCTTTCGAGTCACATCCTCGATGAGCAGGTTGGAAGTCCATCCGGAGCTCATCAGCATGTGAACGAAGGCGGTCCGATCTCCATACTCCTTGGATGTGCTTTGTCAGTGCGCTACAGAGCTTCTCCGCTTCTCATGGGTTTAGGGTTTCAGGTGAAAATAAGCCTCAAACCAAGAAAGACAAAACAGAAACCCCCAAATCCTGAACCCTAAACCCCCTACCCGAAAAGCCCAGAAAGCAAGACCCGTGCAGGACCAAAGGGCTTCAGGCTACTGAGGCTCTTCTCAAAGTGGCCAAGCGGCCACCTGAAGCCAATATCGCATGACGCCCTCCGACGGGTGCTTGGCCACCTTCGCCACCTTACCGTTCTGTAGGTCTTCGCGTTCAGAAAGCATTCCGGCGCAGGACTGGAGGCCCTGAACCACAAAGCTTTCGGGAGGATCTGCGATCGTGTAGAGCTCCTCTCCAGTAAGAACTTCGACATCCGCCGCTGGAGCTTCTGGGGCATCCGCTTCTGGCTGTGGCAAGCTTGGGGGGTCTGGAGGAAAAGAGGCATCGCCGACGTTTCGGAGCACGTGATTGGAGCTCCAGCCGCAACTCATGAGCATGTGGACGAAGGCGATTTCCGAAGGTCCATACTCAACCTTAGCTGCTCCGGTCCTGGCGTCGGTTGAAAACTATCCGGTCCCAACAACAAGTACCCCTCATCAAAAAAAATACATATCATAAAAATGATGGTAATTCTACTACATTGACATTATTACAAAAAATCAAGGAACATACCTGTTATAATTATATTAGATTACAAAGTAGCAGTGATAAGAACCCGGATACTGAGGGTAATCGTAGAACAGTACTTATGCTAGATAATAGCCCAAATCCGGAACCTACTGAATTCAAAGCTGCATCTACCCAGCACTGAGGGTTAATGCATTCCAATATAAGGGCTGAGTAGCCTAGCCCCAAGAAGGTTAGCCTTTTCAATTATGGTAGGATATAAACCCCAGAAGGTTAAAGGTTACCTACTCAGCTACTAAGAATCCGAGCTACTTTGAGCCAGTACTGCATCATGTGCTCCTCCGGATGCTTGGCAACCTGCAATACCTTGGTAGGGTCGGCAGTGTCGAGTGGTTTCGACCTGGTCTCTAACTTACTGCGTAACGGAAACTGAGAGTGCAGGGGTCCCGGAACTATAAGAGCTCAGAGCAGTTTTTAGATTGGGAAGGCTTGGGGCATCGGGCTGCCAAATGAAAGAGTCCAGTCAGTAGGGAGTTTAAACAGGTCTGATGTAAGCATTCTTGCAAGATTAAACTCAGAAACATCGATTAGAAAGACGGATGGAACACTAAGCCCGAATTAAAACCCCCTTCAACCCTGCCCCGAAATACAAAAACTCCGAATGACGGAACAAACCCAAGGAACCTTCCCGCCGCGAACGTCCTCATGTTCTTCGACAGCTCCGCCACAAACCTGGGCTCGTACTTCTTGGGTTCAGAAAGGGCAAGTGCCTCAACGCTACCATTGATGTTGTCTAAATAGCTTCGCATTGCTGTCTAAAGCAACTCTGGTGAGAACCCTAAACCCTAAGCATGACCGCCGTCAGAGAGTGAGTGGCTTCATGCTCCATAGATCAGGGCATTGCCAGAAACAAACATTCTCGGTGCATAGCAATACCAACATTATTAATTGCCATCATAGTGGTAATAGTGACAGTGATAATCATGCTGTTACCTGTAAGAATAAGAACCATAAGGATAGCATATTCAGTGCCTGCCCGGAAACCTTGAGACCTTCCACCACGAAGTCCTCCGGAGGGTCCACGATCTGATAGGGCCCATCACCCTTAACTTCTGCAGGCATCTCTGCAGCGGCTTCGCCTGGCTTCTCTGAGGATGCCGCTTCCACCTGGACTTCAAGAATGATTCAAGAAGTATAGTAAAGGCCATGTACCCCGTAGTAAGGCTTCATGCTATCATATGTCCCTGTATTTAGGCCCCCTAAACCCTAAACCCTAATAGGCCCCTAAACCCTAAACCCTAATAATATAATACAGGACCCCTAAACCCTGAACCCTAATAATAAAGGACCCCTAAACCCTAAACACTAAAAATAAAGGACCCCTAAACCCTAAACCCTAATAGCGCCCCTGCAATTTTTTGCTTCCACCTGGACTGGGGGCTTCTCGGCAACGGGCTCAGAGGCTTTCGCGGAGGATTTCTTCGAGCCTCCCGATCCCATGGCCCAAAAAAGCCGCGATGAACTTGATCCCTTGGCAAAATGAGGGTTTCCGAAAATAGGGGACCCTAATTATAGTACCCCAAAGAGTAGGATCCTTATTATAAGGACCTCAAAATAAGGTACCCCTTATTTCGGAAACTCCCAAATGCCTGCTGCCCTTCGAAATTTCTCACGAGTCTAGGTCAAGCGTGGAGACTGCAAGATGTTCGAGCCTGCTACAGCCGCGCTTCATGACTGCCACCAGGATCTCATGCTAAAACGGAGCTCTGCAAAGCTCGATCGTGCACCTGTTGCAAATGATCGCGCTCTTGCGATGCTTCCTAGCAGAACTGCTTGACCGATTGCCGTAAAAACTGTACGACTTGCTCCGCAAGACTTACACAGGAAATCGTGCCCGCTGCTATGGGGGAAAGGCCTCAAGGAACTGCACCGAAGGCCCTGGACCCTGCAACTCGTTGAAACCCTGAACCTGAAGCATGCGAGATGCCCGAACCCTAAACTCCTAAACCTTAAACCCTTTTCTACACCGGCTTGATTGGAGCTCGCGCCGCCAAAACCCCGAACCCTAGAGCCTAAGCTCCCAAACTCCTAAACCCTCAACCCAAAACTCCTATAAACCCTGGCCTGAACCTTCAACTCCCTATACCCTGAACCCTAAACTCCTAAACTCCTAAACCCTAAACAACCGACAGACATTCAGAAAGAAGCCGAAACTGCCGGCCTGCCCAACCCACCAGGCTTGGCCTCGCTTTGCATGTGGGTACGGGTAGTTCTCTAAATCAGGGTCTCTTTTTGAGATCCTTTTTGTAAGGCTGTCGTATAACATTGGGGTCCTAAAAAAGGGACCCTCTCTCTCTCTCTCTCTCTCTCTCGCGTGCTCGGGGGATCCTGTCAGACGCAACGCTCGTTCTCTGAATTTAGAGAACTACTCATGTCTTTTGGTTCTTTTTTATGTGAAAGAATAGTGTTACCAGATGTTATTAGAAGTGTTACGATTATTATGGTTAAGAATAATGATACTAGATATTATTAGCAGTATTACTATTGCCATGATTGTCATTAGTGTTCTCGCTAACGTTATTAGTATGATGATTTGTGTCGTTCGTGACATGGTCCTTCTAGACTAGGCTTCGTCAAGGAACAGAATTCTGAAAATAGGCTCTAGGTGTTCACGGTTTCCTAACTAAGTCCGCCATTCGGGGTATTGAACTTCTAGCGTTCGAACTCGGGGGGATACTGTGCTGACCATCTGGGAGGGTTTAGGGTTTACTTCTCTTCAGGGCTTTGCAGTGCAAGTGCTTTGGGCTTACAACGCTCTCTCAAACAGATACAATCGTCAAATCCAGGGTGAGTTCTCGAGAAACCTACAAACCCTAAACCCTACCACGCAAAACCCCCTGACCACAAATTCCATCGCCAGCGACTAACCACAAGAACTCCAACACCCAAGATTCCTACAAGGTAGCCTTCGGTGTATGCTTCTAGCATTGCGAAAGGAACCCGCCTATGTAAAATCCTAGGACGTAAGTTCTATTTGCTGGTGGCAGCCGGAACATGGTGAGCCATACTAAACAGAGAGAAATACTCTGAAACAGCCCTAGATACAACCATGTAAAGCATAATTTCCTGTATCGCTATGTTCGAGAGCTCTCTGCAGACCAAAACTACAGCACGGACAAAGAGGCTTGGGACCAAGCAGTCGCTTCATCCGGTGTCTCCGCAATCCAAGTGGCCAACCTGTCCATGCTGCACTAGGGTTTGCGGGTTCGGGTTTTAGGGTTTAGGGAAAGGCTGCCCTAACGACCCCCCCCCACCCCCCGCCAACACTGCCCACAACGTTGAGCATGCGGAGTCTTTCCGAAACCTAAAACGCTCCATTTACCTAAATAGTAGGTTACTGGGATACATTATAATATATGGTTAGTAACCCACTATTTAGGCAAATGGACCCCTAGGGAAACCCAAACCCCTACGACGGCCGGTACAATCGCCGGCCCGAAGACCTTCACACAGGATCCTATACGCAGCTTCCTTCCAAAATTAATAAATGTTGTTGTCCCAGGCCGGCTTTCTGCATTTATAGGGGCTTATAGCGTTTTATAGGGTGTCGGGATTGGAAATTTATAATTGGACTATCAGTCCTACAACCTAACTTGAACCCTGAGCCCAGGCCCTCACGTTAGATCTCTTCCTCTGCTGGGCGTCCGGGCTCCACAAGGCGCGCCGAGCCCTCCGCACGTCCCAGCAGCCACGGGTGCGCCTTCCGTTGTTTTGGGGGTGTCGATCAAAAACCTTGAACCCCGAACCCTAAGCAAGCCTTAATCCACTATAAGCCCTAAAACCCCTGAGCCCTAAACCCTAAAAGAAGCCTTATTAATCCACTATAAAAACCCTATACACCCTATCGGAACCTTCATGGAGGCCGCGCCGGGCCGCACCGCGGGGTTCTTCTGCAGGGCCTGCAGGGCGTAAGATACGGGCATGAGAAATTATCGGAATAGGGTTTGCCGTATATACTATACTAGAGCAGTTTTGAAATCTTCGGGTCGAAGGGCTGAATCAAACCGTTCAAGTATGCCTTCAAGGTTCTTTTAATGGTCTTGTGAGACTCTTGGGTACCGGCTGTTATAAGCTGTCACAAGGTCTGCCCTTCAACATTGGACTACGCTTCGCCAGGACCATTCGGGAGAGGCTCCATGTGGACGTACAAACCCTAACCCTAACCCTTAGCATCGAAGGACTCATATTTTAAGGCTTTTGGACCCAAAGACCCTATTATATAAGGCTTTTGGGCTATTTTGATGCTAAGGGTGATTTCGTAACGAATGAAAGGTCTACGGCGGATTCTGCTGCTGTGGTCTTCGAAGGAAGCGGGCTGATCCATCAGTGGTCGAAGTACATGGCATATGGCGCCTTTTAGCACCCACCAGAACTCCTGAGGAGCCCTAAGTTACATGTACCAAGACGATAAGAACAATGCCAAATACAGCGGAAGTTTAGGGGTCGGAAAACTAGAACTCGAAGTAATATTCCCTTCACGGTTCCTTAAATCTATACGTGGTTTCAGACGAGTTTCCCAAGTCCGGCGGGGACCTTTCCAACTCTCCATGTGACGGCTTGGGGAAGCCACGGGCACTTGTTGAGTTTAGGCTTGCAGTTTAAGGTTTGCGAGTAGTCTAGGAAGTTAGCGGTTTGGGGCTTTGTGGTCTACGTATTCGAACTGTTTAGAGTTTAGAAGCACCACTGTGGAACACAAAGGTTCAGTTTCCAATCGTTGTGCTGTTTTGAAAGGAATCCTCATCCCCTTATTCTTAGCACTCCTGCATGTTCGATCTGCATTTTGAGGCATATCGGGGAGGGACTGCAGGGTGCAGAATTCAGTGTTCTGCCCTTTACCAAACACCCCGAACCCTGAAGCTCCAAGCCAGAAACCCGAAAGCAAGTACCCCAAAGCCTAAAGCCCCAAGCCCGAAAGACAGTCTGATATCAAAACCAGCAGCCCACAGCAAGACGGTGCATACTAAACCCCATTTCTCTCTCCTCTCCCGCCTCTCCCAACAACACAAAGACAACTAGGTGCTTATCTGCATATAGGGGGAGAGACACAGATATTCAATGTATATACCGACACGCATACATTGACATAAATACATACGTACGTACATACATACATAAATACATACATGCATACATACATACACACGTGCTAGCTGAACTTTCTTGATGTGTCGCTAACGAATCTTCGTGCTCCATGAGCCGCACCGGCAACACTCGAATCCTTGAGGCGAGCTGACTGAGACTCATCTCGCCTTTCCTTTCTGAACCAAATCTTCTCGATGCTATTCAAAGCTTCGGGTATAGGACAAAGCCTAGTTCATGAACCCTCAATCCCTAAAAAAAAAAGCTTCGACCGCACGCCCGTCGGGCTTAGCGAAACGCTAGCCACATAAACTCTAACAGTCCTGAGCCCCCACCTGTTGCAAGAAATCCTGCAGCTTCTCGCTGTGCTGCGTAGCCGCAGGAAGGCAAGGCGGCTCCTGCCTGCCCATCAGAAATAAAAAGGGCGCCTTAATCATTGGAATCCAGTTTTTTAATTCTAATACGGGTCGAGATTCAAAGAGGGAGCTCAATAATAATCAGTATAGGATTCTTTCAAAGGCGCTTTTATAGGCGCTTGTAGGTGCTGATTCTCGGTGTTTGCAGAGCTTTATCGGGTTTGGGGTACGAGGGCTTGAATGATTAGGGCTTCGGGCCGGGGGTATCCTGGCGCATCTGTTCATAATGAGGAAATAATGAGGAACCCTACGGACCAAATTTGGATACAGTTCAAATGCATCTAAATTAAGAGGAGGCTTGAGATATGAACAGAGCAGATCAAAGGGGTCAGCCTTTCGGGTTCCTCATGAAGTTTCGTTTGGTTTAGGATTAAACCCGCCCCTATATAAACCCTAAGCGGTTTTGGGGTTTCGGGTTCTGTCTAGTTCTGTCTGCTTGTTGGTAAGGACTGTCGGGATTCTCGAGAGGTCGGGGCCTTTAAAAACAAGGATCGTACCTCTTGGAGAAGTAGAGTCTTCTTTCCCTATTGCTGCTCATTAGCTGCTTTTGGGGCTTCAGGTTTTGGTGTGGTTGCCCTGCCAGATGCAGTGTTGAAAAGGCCGCACCCCTTTGCATCTGAAACCCAGAAGCCCAATAAACCCTAACGAAAAGGCACAGAAAATTAGTCAGGGGTTCAACCCCAACAGCTTCCACCCGGTACCGGGGTCAGCGCGTGTCGATGCGCCGCATGAGCTCCCAAAAGGAGAACTGTCTCCCCACTTCCTGCGGCTCAGGGCTGCAAAGTCTCGCTTCGGATGAGGGTTTCCAGGATGATAGGGACTCACCAGGGTTTAGGGTTTAGGGTTTCGGGTTTAGGGTTTAAGGTTTAGGGTTTAGGGTTTAAGGTTGAGGGTTTAAGGTTGAGGGTTTAGGTTCAGGGTTTAGGGTTTAAGGTTGAGGGTTTA